AGGGCGATCCCGGGACTGGGGATCCCCATATGTGCGTGTGGCAACTAAAATCCTCTGGTGACACAAAAAAGGGGGTGGTGGGTGGTGTTCCTTGGGTGGGAAGGGGGCAGCGGGGCAATGGCCAAAGGGAATTTTGACGTGGGTGATGACGAAGCAAGTTTTGCATGAACTCCAGGGGCAAACTGGTAGGAAACAGGCCGCTCTTTTTAAGTGTCTTTTAAGACAAACCATCACCCAAAACTACTGGAAACTAGAGCCAGGAGTTAATGCCACCGAAAAGGCTCCTCTGATACTGTAATAGGAGAGGAGAGGAAAACAGTTCTGATGCTTTTAGAGCAGTGTCTAAACCTTGGCAGCTTGAAGATGTCTGGACTTCAACTTCCAGAATTCCCCAGCCAGGCTGGGGAATTCTGGGAGTTGAAATCCAGACATCTTCAAGTTGCCAAGGTTGAGAGACACTGCTCTAAAAGCATCAGAACTGTTTTCCTCTCCTCTCCTATTACAGTATCAGAGGAGCCTTTTCGGTGGCATTAACTCCTGGCTCTAGTTTCCAGTAGTTTTGGGTGATGGTTTGTCTTAAAAGACACTTAAAAAGAGCGGCCCGTTTCCTACCAGTTTGCCCCTGGAGTTCATGCAAAACTTGCTTTGTTGTCGCCCATGTCGAAATTCCTTTTGGCCATTGCCCCGCTGCCCCCTTCCCACCCCAGGAACACCACCACCCCTTTTTTGTCCCGGGATCGCCCTTCATGCGCCTGCAGAAAAGAGGGCTCCCTGCCGCCCTTGGTGCACAGCGTGCAGATCGATAGAGCGCGCGCTGACTGACTGGCTACCCCGAGGAATGTGTGGTATGCAAGAGGCCAGAAGCAACCATTCGACAGGACGGGGAGGGGGGAGGATGAGAGTGGCTCATGTCTGCGGTGGGCTCAGGGGGCATGCATGTTCCGAGCCATGGCGCTTGGTCCGGAGAGGGGGGGGAAGCCCTGAGCGGTGTGTGCCTAGCCGCCGCATGGGAGCGGCTCGGTGTCTTCTGATTTAGTTGTTTCAACTCCCCCCCCTCCTCTGCTCGGTTGCGCGCTCTCTGTATGTTTTTCCTCTCTCTCTCTCTCTCTCTCTCTTTTGCTGGGCGGTGGTTGAGGCCACTGGTAGTTAGGATCGATTCTGCTGTTGCTTAAGTCGCCGCGGCGGACAGCAGCAGCAATGAGAAGTAGCAGTGGTAGTATCTAGTAGATCAAAGAAGGGGCATTTATGGCAGGCTAGCCAGTTGAAGCTGTAGGCTCAGTGTGGCTCCTTCTCTGCCTCCTGCTGCCCCTTTGCCTCCTAGCGCCCCCCTGCCACCCCCCTTGCCTCTTAGCGCCCCCCTAAGTCATCCCACCCACCCCCAGAGGGCGGTACCGCCCACTTTGGGAACCACTGATATAGCCCATTAGATTTAAATGCTCATGAAAAATTTTTCTATTATATTATGTAAAAATAGTATGCAATTATAATAGACAGAGTAACTGAGTCATCCTATTGGAAAAATTCTCATTTTTGATCTTATAACAGTTATTCCAATCCCCGAAATGGTTACCTGTAATTGGTGCATCTGGTCGACTCTGTTCTTTCCTCCAGGTTGGCACAAATACTGTTATATCTTTGTGACCTTTTTCCAGAAACCAATCAACAGCTAGTTGAATCCCTCGACAGGAAAATCCTTCTTTATTTCCATGGCTGAAAATGAGCAAAAATAATTCAGAGAATTCTGATGTATCTTGATAAAGATAGCTGATATAAAAATGCAATAGTTAAGGGAAAGGCGTTTATTAAAGTTTAGGAGACAGTATTAAAAAGATCTAGGGGGAAAACACTCTCGCAAATGGAGGCAAATATATGTGTCCCAGGATAATGTTGCAGGATCCAGTCTGAGTCAGTCATCTGGACCAAAGGTTTATTCTTCCAAGCTTTCAGACTCGTGCTGCAGCCCATCCTCAGGGAACTTCTCTGTCTCTAGAATATATGCCCATTCTGGAGAGAGAATGGCGCACAATCTGGAGAGAGAGAATTTTCCTGAGGATGAGCTGTAGATGAGCCTGAAAGTTTGGAAGAATAAATGTTTGGTCCTGGTGATCCACTCAAAACTTCACTCTGTTTTCTTGCTGGCTGGGGAATTCTGGAAGTTGAAGTCCACAAGCCTTAAAAATTGCCAAGGTTGGAGATCCATGATGAGATGTCATAAGATCCATATAGTTCCCTGCCTGATGACATATCATGCTGTCTAGACTTGGCTTCTTACCCAGGCCGTCGGGTAGGGTGGATGGGACACGAGCACCACTACCCTGTTTGTGAGATTTTATGTCTTCTGTGTTGCTGAGTTGCCACCTTGTGTTAATGTCAGAATTCCAAGAAACACCCCCAACGAAAGAAAACTCCAAGGCTTGAGTTTCCTCAAAGTTCCATTTTATTAGAGATGTCATGCTGGTACATCTGGGAAAACCCAAATCTGAAAGCTTCCAGGTTTTCCAACCCAATTGAAAGACCCTGCCCCAACACCCACAAGTCTATCACATAGTCCAATCCTTCATTGCCACGAAGAAAGATTTCTCCCATCCACATCCGTCCAAGTGCAGGAGCAAAGCAACCTTGACTTTCTGAGAAAGAATATTATTATGGCTACACATCACCCATACTCTGTATAACNTCATATTTCCCTTATTTAGATCTTCACATGTATTTATGTTAACATTTCATCCTTCATTCTTTTATTATTCAATGTCTCAATATACACTTCTAGTTCCAATCACAGCAGCATCCTCATGGACGGACGCAGTGCGCACATGTGTTCAAGTGCCTCCATGATGCTCCAGCTGCTCCATGGAGTGTCGTGCAGGCGCTGTATACACCATGCGCCTGCGCAGAAGCGCAGAAGCCTTTAAACTCCGGTAAGGAGCTTGGGTGGGCCCTCTGGAGCACCTTACCGGAACGGTATCCGGTGCTCCGGACTGGTTCTGGTACACCTATACCAGGGCATACCGCCTGCAGCCCACCACTGAATCAATGTGATTCTACTCTTAAAATGTGTTTTAACCATTGGATTGTCAGAGTAGTCTAAGATGTTTTTAAGATATTCTGCTCAGCTGTGAAATCTCATTTTTTTCCCACCAGTTCTGTGGGCATGGCTTGATGGGGGTCATGTGACTGAGTGGGCGTGGCTATGTAGTCATAGCCTGCGGGGGTCAAAATACAGAAACTCAGTTTAACAATGTCCTGCTGGAGCAGGAGATTGGACTAGATGACCTCCAGGTCCATTCCAGCCCAGGATTCTCGTGCTCTTTCAAGGTATCCTCTGAAGCTGCATCTAGTGCCAGGTTTGTAGTCCTTCCTCCCTTCTTTCTTTAGTCTTTAGTCCTTCTTTCTGCCTCCCTCCCTCTTTCCCTCCCTCCCTCCTTTCTTTACTTCCTTCTTTTCTTTCTTTCACAGCATTCCCCCACCCCACCCCCCGTTTTTGGCCTGGCAGGCATCAGGGAAGCCTCCCGTGAGAAAAACGGATCCAAAATGCTAAAAAAGTTTTTTTTTTAAAGAAAAGTTCCTACCATCACACAGCACAGCTGAACTTTTTTTTTACTTTGTTAACAAAGGTAGGGATTTCACCCCTGAATCTGCCATTTGTGATGAAGACGCTCTGATGGGAAGACCAACTGCTGAAGCAATTGATTGTCTTCTTTTCTGAACTGAAAGATGCTCCTCATATTTGCAGAGACATCGTGGATCTTTCTTTTTTGCCATTCAGCAAAATTGAAATTCCAGTAAACATCTACAGATTTATCTCCTGCGTAATTTATTTTCTTCAGCAGATGCCAACTTCTTTTAGGAACCATGCCACTTTTGGAATCCATGTGCTTTTAGTAAACTTTGATTTATGTACAAAGGCATTCGAAGGACACACGTAATATAATAAAATGCATAGGCATGGGCACATGTGTTGGGTGCATGGAGATATTCCAACTGCCACAACTCCTCATTATCTTCCTGAAAACTGTATTGATGGGCATTTGTTTGGGGGAAACGACATGACACATGTTACTTTTATATATGTTGTAAGGGAAAGACGCAGGAGCCATGGAATCAGAGAGTAAGATGTTTATTGCGAGATGACAAGCGATTCAAAATGTCCCTGCAACTGTCAGGGTATTTATACTCGAGCCCAAAGCAACTGTCAAATGACCAGCCAATCAGAGAGCTGGTAACAGGGAACATTTGCATATATAACACTCCTTCCCCCCAGTTATTTGCATACTCAACACTCCTCTAACATTTGCATATATAACAGTTACTAAGTCATCGTGCAAAATATGTGAATTATTTAATTTATGAACAAGGACATAATTATAGATTCTTACGGATTCCTCCTATTTTATGTATGCACAATAAGGTGAAACAAATTCATACCTTTAGCCCTTTCCTTCATTATTAAAGCTTACTTACTCCCTATATTCATTAACTCAGATTGATGATGTTCTCCCTCTTTCTTTTAGTTTAGCAGATACACAACATATTTTTTTCCTTTAGTTCATGTGTTAATTCACATTCTTTATCATTTATTCATCATATTTTCCAGGTTGCAATCATGCCTTTGCCAGAATCATGACTGTCAGAAGTTTGAATTCAGTGGCATCAAGCGCAGTGGCGCCGTGGTTAAATGCAGCACTGCAGGCTACTTCAGCTGACTGCGGTTCTGCAGTTCGGCTGTTCAAAACTCACCAGCTCAAGGTTGACTCAGCCTTCCGTCCTTCCAAGGTGGGTAAATTGTGGTCCCGGATTGTTGTTGGGGGCAATATGCTGACTCTGTAAACCACTTAGAAAGGGCTGAAAGCCCTATGAAGCGGTATATAAGTCTAACTGCTATTTCTATTGCTAACTCTTGAGGGACTCTCAGACCATTAGAGGCTATGAGATTTATGCTGGGTCTACTTTGCCTACCTTATGTCTAAGAGATCCTAATCTCGTAGTTTCTTTCTCTGCCTTTATTCCCAGCTCAAATACAAACATCAGATGCTTCTTGACAATTATTTTGGTAGGATGTAGGTTTTAAGTTTAGGTTTTGCCTCACCCTGTTAGGAATTTCTTGCAAATAAATATTCTGCTTCTTGAAGTTACAAAACCCATCTCATGAATCTTTGCTCAGTATGCTTGGTCTGAACACATTCTCAGGGATGCTCATAAGTGTACACGTACTTGCCTTCAACAATCACTTGAAGCAGTTGTGCCCATGGATATCACCATCTTCCATCATGGTTCTGGTCAACCACAGCTTTTATTTCATGCTTATTTTGAGATAAAATTACCAATGACAGGGTTCCAACAGATGCCCTAATTAAACCATGAGCCTCAAGCCAAGCTTCAAAAGAAATCCAGTTATTTATTAGGAGCAATATGTTAGCACATACCCGTGAAGCCAGCTCTGACCCCACATAATTTATGGCCCAAGGATGACCTGTTCCCCTCCCCCCCCAGGGTGTGTAATAAATCACATTCTCCAATGGAGCATTTTTGCGGGCCGTAGAGACCATTCTCCTTGGGCTGTTGCAGGTAACCTGGGAGAAAACCTTGAGAAAGATATGCATGCTCAGAAAGGATTAAACAGATATTAATTGAACAGATCTATGCAGATCAGAATGGTTTCCTACCACACAGACAAAATTAAAAATAATACGAGGATTATATTAGATACTTTAGAATATTATGAAACACACCCAGAGAAACAATCTGCACTTGTTTTCCTTGATGCCCAGAAAGGTTTTGACAACGTAAATTGGAGATACATAATATTACAATTAGAGAATATGAAATTTGGAGAAAAAATTGTAAAAATGATAGGGGAAGTATATCATACCCAAACAGCCAACGTTCTCTTGAATGGGGATCTAACAGGAAAAATTGAGATAAAGAAGGGAGTAAGACAAGGATGTCCCTTTTCTCCACTCCTGTTTATAATAACATTAGAAACACTACTAAACAAAGTTAGAAAGGATCAGGAGATACCAGGACTGAAAATTAGAAAGGAAGAATATAAAATTCAAGCTTTTGCCGATGACTTAGTGTTCATTTTGGAAGACCCTTTGGAATCTGGCCCCAAATTAATTTAAAAATTAGAGGAATTTGGAGAGGTAGCAGGTTTAAAGATTAATAAAAACAAAACAAAAATAATAACAAAGAACATGACGCAAAAACAAGAGAATGAATTGGAGATCAGGACTAAAATGCAAATAACTAAAAAAGTTAAATATTTGGGAATCTGGGTGTCGGCAAAATGCTCCTAAATTAAGGAGGACAATTATAATAAATTAATAACACAAATAAAAAAGGATTTAGAGAGCTGGAAAAAAACATAAAACTGTCACTTATGGGACACATAGCCATGATAAAGATGAATATACTCTCAAGAATTTTATTCTTATCCCAAGCAGCACCAATAAATCCAGGCAAATTATTTTTTCAAGAACTAAACAAATTAACTTTGAAATTTATATGGTAAAGAAAAAAGCCGAGGATTAAATTAAAACCATTGCAGGATGGCAAGGAAAGAGGAAGTTTAGCACTCCCTGATTGGGAATTATATTTTCAGGCAGCATCACTGACATGGCTGAGGGAGTGGATTGAACTGAAGAACAAGAGAATATTGGTGTTAGAAGGGCATGACCTGCAAGAAAAATAAAAAAAAAACACAAGTATTT